CGGCGAAGATTACACGTCGAGTGGACAGCTGTCTTCTGCTATCGCGTCAGTACCGTTCTCCGCTATTTCTCGTCTGGAATTTAATTAGAATCCAAAACCCTTTTTGTGATCAGTTACCTGCAAACCGGTACGTGGCTTGCTGGCGTCGCAAGTCTACGGGAATATGTCTCACTCGCTTTATTGATCCACAGGCTCTTGTGGGTTTAACGGAGAGAATTGCGCAACGGTGGAGATGACTTTGGTCAATCCTACCGCCCCGGGTAGTGGCTCGTCTGCTGATATCACTCTTATTAGCCCGTGAGTGACATGTCTCAGCGTAAATGCTGGTGAAGTCGATGAAGCTGATGATGATGCATGTATTCAGGCATGCGTACAGCGTTCAGTCATCTTTTAGGTATATCATATCGTAGTTGCTCTCTTTGGTCGTCGTTGACAAAATTTTATCGCAGCTTCTTTGGTGCGACTGGCGGATGCAACAACCAAGGCGCCAACTGTAATAATTTCTCAACTGGTTCACACTTGTTTTTCTGACTTTTGTGGGATAGGCGACAGTGCTACTTGCCCCTCGGCATTCTATACACCCGATCAGACATACGTGCAGGTCGCTTGCGAAGAGAACAACGTATGTCTCTTTATTTCCCGTCTTACTGTGTGTAATACGTTGTACTGACTAATAAAACATTAGATTAACTTCCTCATTGCTTTCTGCGAGGATGCTACGACGCTCTCTTGGGACTCTGGCGCTGGTAACGGTTATCCGGCCCCTACCAGCACTCCTCCTCCGCCGCCACCACCGCCTACAACGTCGTCGACCCTTCCTCCCCCTCCGCCTACGACCTCCTCCACCCCCACTCCCACTCCGACGCCCTCTAGCTCCCCTGCTGTCACCACTACCTCTTCCACCCCTACCACCAGCTCGACAACTTCGACTTCATCGACAACATCTTCGGCGGCACCCACAAGCACCCCGTCTTCGGGCTCACGCTGCCCTGCCAAGAATGCTAAGCGGTCTCTCCGCTATAAGCGTGATACTTTGGCCGAGCCTCAGTCCGAGGCTCGTGCGCGCAAAGCTCACATCTCGCGTGCTGTGGCCCACCGTGGGCACTGAATGACCCATCGTAGCGCACTCCAGTTATAATTCCCATAAGAACCTGATACAAGATGGTTTTGAGGTTATAGTCTTTGAAGTCTCCTTGTTCTTCGAGCTCGTTCCCGTTTTCTCCACCCCGTTTACTCTACATTCGACCATAGTGCCCTGGTGGATGTGATTACTGAGTATCGCTGTTCCTTTGCGTCGCGCATTGCAATCCTGTCTTTTTGGCATTTCTGGACCGTGATATTATGGTACTTCATACAAGCTAGCTAGTCTTGCATCCGTGTTGGCTCTCACCCATGCGTGATCGCTGAACTTAGTAGTTACGTATCTTATTAAAAATGGACGCTGTACTCGTGGCTCTTTGCTTCGGATATACTGCTTCTCAGCTGCGGCGTATACCAGTGACATTGTAGATAGTGTGGCTGTCGCAACTCATTCATATATACCCATTTCTAAATTCATCTTGAATGCTAGCCACATGCAATGTCAAAATTTTATATCATGGCTATAGCATTTTGTATACTGTATACCATTAACCTCTGAGGGAAAGGGAGGTGAGTACAAGCAATGAGGCAAAATTCATGTAACGAAGTAGTTGCATACGGATTCCATACAACTTGCCAATTACCGTGATATTTATTGTCAAGGGGCAATACCCAAGTGCATACTTACGACTGACTCAGACAAGCCATAGTACAACACAGCACTTGGCACGAACACAAGGTACTTGGAGATGGAAAGCTTGGACGACTTACGAATGTGGCTGAAACAATAGCGGCAGAGGCCCCTAGGTTCCAAGAAACAAATAAGGAGCCAGGGAGAAAACTGCCAGACTATCCATTTCAACGGTCCCTGGAACACGGAGTCAACTAGGACAATTGCAATTGCGCGGCACAATCAGATGCAGAAAGGCGAGAAGCACCCGGCACCAACGTGTCGATTATTCAGAGCATAACTCCCTGTTGTGGCTCATGCTTTTAGTGTTACTGCATCATCGGCTGGCTAGCTCGAGAAGACAGAGGAGAGTCGACGCAATTGAGAGCTGGGAGAGAGCAACGGTCGGCACACGATGGTGCCTTTATGGGCCGCCCAAATAGGCGCCAAAGGCGCTCGCAGACACGCGGATACCGCGAGGCGGCGGGCGGCCCAATGTTCAAGTTCATCTCTTCTTATTACCTCACACCCTCTGCTCATTTCCACGTCAAATAGCTCTTCCTGACCCTTTGGATACCTTTCCTCATTTTACGAACCAGTCTGCTTCCTTTTTCCCCTTGTTCTCTTCGCGCTACCTGTAAAATCATCCACATCAACATAATTCAACATGTCTGACTTAGGGTCTCCGGAGGCGATGAGGACCTACATGCTTAGGTCCAGTACACCAGGCAAGTCGTAAAAATTCATCTGCACTACATCTGTATGTTGATGTCCAGTTTCTACCGCAGCCTCAAATGAGAAAGGTATGCTCTTGTACTGCATGTTGATCATGTCAGATGGCGTGCGCTGACTCCTCGCGTTTTTCAAGTGCTACTTTATCTGGAAAGCCTGCAGAGAGCACCTCCCGAAGAAGACGATAGAGCGAGCAGTGTTGTATCTGGCGGACGGCGTAGAGGCAGCGTAGCCAGTAGCCGTCGCAGGCTGCAAGATCTTGCTGAAGAGGGTGCCGACTACGGTGAACAGGAAGACGAGGAAGACATTAGGTCTGATGTGCAAGAGGGAAACGGCTCCGAAACTGCACGAACAATCCCTATCCAAACGACCGGGAACGTGAGCAGCCGTCCGCCGACTAGTGTGTGCGTCGACCATTCTGACGACCACTGCAGCCCGAGCACCACGAACCTGGTCCAAATGACCCCCCGGGCCCCCACTTCGAATCATACGGGTCGTCATTCGGAAACTTCGGACCCCTGCCCCCTGCGGAAGCATGGAACGCGCCGGTATGGACAAAGTCTTCCATTGAGCCTAGAACCAGGAGTGACGTGAGTTATGGTAGCACTCGCCTGTCCGCCCCACCGGGGTACCTTTGCCAGGCTCGCCTACAGATAGCCACCCTAACCCGTTCCAGGTAAGGACGCCAGCGGCAGCCAGCCTAGAGGTATATTAACGCTTTAGTAGCAATGGGGTATGACTCCTGCCACAGCTGCCGGTATTCCTCTTCCGCCTTCCGTCGCGTCTGCTTCAGTTCATCCAGGCGCTGAATCTCCATCAAGCCCTATGGCTAGAAGCAGACATAACGCGTCCAGAGCTTCGAATAAATCACCTGCTCCCCCTGCCAGTGCGGCGAACGGGGTACGGTTATAAATCTTGACGCATGGAATAATTGGCTGACCTCTTTCAGATGTTGTCTCCCAAATCTGCATCTCGTGCACTGTCTCCGACGCGCACTGGTGGCGGCGGTGAAAGGCCATGGTCGCCCCGTACTGTAGTATCGCAAGGTCAATCATTGAAATCTCGTGCTACTCAAAAGACGAACCGAACGGTTTATCCTCCTCTTCCTGAGTCTGTAGTAGAAGATAACTTCTCCAAAGCGCCTACTCAGAGAGCAACATCCCCCGTTGATCGTCGGACTAACAAGTCGCCGTCAATTGCGCCATCCGATTCTCCCTCGCAGGCGAGGTCGAAACGGTCGACGGTAAAGCCGCTGGCGAAAGAGCCATCCCTCAAGCCTGTAAAATCTGTCAAGAGCACTACAGAGATCAATGGTGGGGTGGCACCTTCTGGTGGTGTTTCTAGATATGCAACCTCCCAACGAGATGGTAAGTGGCAGAAGTATGCGCGACCGGTGGATTTCCTTCACCAACTATTCATTCATAGCTCGCTCGCAAGCACCCATGTCACCTCGCACCCAGCCTAGTCAGGTCCCAATGTCTCCTGAGAGGAGCACGCGTGATCTGCAACGTGCCGCAGCGGCGATGTCCCCCACGAGGTCGCAACGTCCCGAGTACGACCCTCAAACTACGCCTACCCCTTCACGTCCCGCATCTCCAATGGACGACCTGGATGCAGATGAACAACGCATGGTTAATACTGTACTGACACGCCCCGCACGATCACGAACATCGTATGCTCCATCTACGATGGCTCCCTCTGCACTTGAACCTGAAATCCAGCACTCACACTTCCATGATATGGAGCTCTGTCAACTATTGCATGCCCTTGACCAAACCATGGGAGAGCCCGTAAAAAAAGCTGTCCGAAAAGCAGTTAGAGCTAGAGTGAAGAAACTTGGTATGAAGAACGATAATGAGGTACGTTCTATCGTGTTTTCTTTGTTTCCTCCTATGTTGAGCGTCGCGTGTCTCTAGTCTATCAGACAATATCGGAAGTCTTTCCACGACCATGACCCAAGCGTACATCTTGCTGCAGCGCTGCAAGCTCAGCCTAGCTCGAAACGGTCCACCCAATTAGGCACATCAACGGAACCCCCAGAGTGGGCTAAGGACCTCATTGACGGCATGATCAACATGCGCGACCGACTCGACAGTTTGGCGCCGAAGATTGAGAGAAGTCTGCAATCCTCTAGAGGTGATTCGTATGTCACGGATGGGCGCGGCTATCCTCATCGTCACCATCATTTCGGAGGATCAGAAATGGACGGAGCGTACACCCAGACACCGATGACACAAACTGTGAACATCAACACGCAGCCCACAGATACGATGGGGGACGAGTCTATGTTCCAGCCTGGGGACACCGATCTCATTCGTGATTCAACCCAAATCCACACTCTGCCTGGCTCCATGCATCACCACGATGGTTCCATGCACGACGCCATCCGCGAGGAAGACGGCTACGACGATGAAGACGATCTTCATGGACACCACATGGTCCCCACAGATGGAGATACGCATGGCATGAGCAGCATGTACATGCATGACCGCGGTGAATCTCCGGGTCAGCAGTACCTCGAGGAAGAGCTATACAAGCTGAGAGTCAAACCTACTGGTAGCCAATCTGCGATGACACACAAGACTTGGGAAGTAGCCCGAGATGATGGCGAGGATTACGATGACGGCGATGCACAAGTTGCCGTGACCGAATCAGGCATGCCTGAAATACCTGATGGTAACACTGGAGGATATACAGATCGCAGAGGCTCACCTCCTCTTCCACCTCTTCCACCGGACACTCGAGGCGATTTGGTCAATATGCCGGACCATCAAGCGTGGCAGGCGGGAGGTTATGGTCACGAACCTCAACTACCTCCACCATGGCAGCGTATCCATCAGCGTCTCCTAAGCTGGGCGATTGTATGGCCCATGTCCGAACTTGACAATGCGGTGAACAGCGCGACGCGGGGTATGCAAGTAGACGAGGTGGCGCTGAGCATTTGGTCGACGCAGACGTATAAACGCTATGTCAGAGCAAAGATGACCGACAGTCCTCCAGGCCGCGTGGATCGTCTGTTTGTGCCACCTAACATGGCGGACGCGATCAGCACTGCGGTGTACAACGGGCGACACGGAGATGCATGCGGAATGCTCAGAGACTTGTGGGCACCGTTTGGACTCGAGGGCATGCCTAGGCTATTGATTGTCCTCGCAAAGCACCGATCTGACAATAATCACTGGGTTGTCCATCGGTATGTCTTGCCCCTATGTGCTTACCCCTATGTAGCAGAATGAAACTAATGGAGCCTATAGTTTCTCCCTTCCCGACGGTTCTCTGACAACGTATGATACATATCCGGAAAGGTGTCTGCCGGATGGCCGCGTGAGTCTTGTCCCATTGGTTTATGTTTTCCTTTATTGACCACCTCTGCTCAGCCTCTGGGATGGTGGTTTGCTATCCGCATTGCTTGGCCGGACGCTATATACCCAAGTCCGGATCATCTCATGCAAAAGATGGTCCGGCTTCACCGTCCCATGCAACTTGGAATCGACAACTCCGTTGCTGCGGCAGGAATTTGGCGCAACCTGCTCATGGGCTCGCGTGCAGAACGCAGTCTCGACCTAGAGCGCCTTCGTGACCTCATCAATACGGAAGTCAAGAACTTGAGGCAGCGCAAACAGATGGGCAAATTATTCATTGGCCCGCCCAAGCCGAACTGGGAAGACATGAATTGAAACGATTATTATGAACTTACGAGTAGTTAGATGACTGGGACGTGTTGGAGCTTGTTGTGTGTAAGCCGTGTATACGTGCGCTGAGATTGCAGCCTGTACTTTTTTGATTCTCTTTTGCTGTTTTTCATCTGATCTTTATCCTGCTTTACTTCAATTCTGCCCTCCGACGCAGTCAGCTCGGACACATTTATGTCGTTTACTCGGGTATTGCAAGTCGTACCAATAGGTTATAATTTTACATTCTTATCCTGCCTAGGTGGTTGCGAGCCTGGCTCGTCCGTCGTATACCGCTCAAGTTGGTGGTAGCGATTACAAACTCGAGTAACTTTAACACGATTGCAAACGGGAGAACAGACGTGTCTGTGACGTAGCCCTTCAACATAGGCATGGCATGTTAGGCAACAAGCTTGGCCGACTTGGATTGGGGACGAGCGCCACAAGGACAGCAGTGGCATAGCACAGGCACCTGCTGCAAGGACGGCGAGGAGTTGTGCATACATGCTTTTGCCCGTGCCCAACTCACGTAAACGCTGTGCTGAAAGTTTGCTTTGGCGAAGTTGGTATTGTGAATTGATGCCAGAGAGTTTGACTCGGGTTTATCCTCTGACTCGATGGACAAGCATCTTCAAATACAATCCCACGCCTTCTTGCTAAACCCCAGCCGACATGAAGACAACCATGTAGGAGTCACCAGAAGTTACAAGAGACCAAAAAAGCTGTATTACCGGCAGCCTAAGGTCACGTGGGGTGATATGCATTAGAGTCGACCCGAAGTCTGGTCGAGTCGGTACTTCTCTTGCGCTAAGACTCTCGAGTGCACCCGCTGCTACTGTAATGGCGGATGTCCCAACGATAAAGATTACGCTTCTGGGTGCCGGACAGGAAGTTGGTAGATCTTGTTGTGTGATCCAGTACAGGGGAAAGACCATTGTCTGTGATGCGGGTGTCCACCCTGCCTACAGTGGCATTGCATCATTGCCCTTCGTGGATGAACTGGACTGGAGCACGGTCGACGTGTTACTCATTACTCAGTACGTTTACAGCTGCTCTTTATTCCGTGTAATGGCTGAGGTCTGCGTAGTTTTCACCTCGACCATGCTGCTGCTCTGACATACATCACCGAGAAGGTAAGCGGAAGCTATATGAGCCCTTGGCCGTATGCACTCATCTCCGTATTACAAGACGAATTTCCGAGATGGAAAGGGAAAAGTTTATATGACCCACCCGACCAAAGCTTTGCATAAATTCATGATGCAGGATTTTATGCGGATGAGGTACGCTAGCACTGCATTAAGTCTGCTCGACACTGAAGAAATATAGTTCTTCGACGTCTGACGCCCTGTTCTCGCCTTTGGATCTTTCCATGTCCTTGTCATCAATTATTCCAGTCTCTGCTCATCAAGTTATTACTCCATGTCCTGGTGTTACGTTTACGCCCTACCACGCAGGTCATGTTCTCGGGGCTTGTATGTTCCTGATCGATATAGCTGGCCTCAAGATTTTGTATACTGGTGATTACTCTCGAGAAGAAGACTGCCATCTGGTCAAAGCAGAAGTACCCCCTTTTCGGCCTGATGTCCTCATCATAGAAAGCACGTATGGTGTGCAGACTTTGGAATGTAGGGAAGATAAAGAACAACGGTTTACGAACCTCGTTCACTCCATCATTCGTCGTGGTGGACATGTCCTGCTGCCTACTTTCGCTCTGGGAAGGGCACAAGAGTTGTTGCTGATTTTGGATGAATATTGGAAAAAACACCCCGACCTTCACAACGTTCCTATTTACTATGCTTCGAGCTTGGCGCGAAAATGTATGGCTGTCTACCAGACGTACATCCACACTATGAATGCCAATGTCCGTTCAAGGTTTGCGAAGCGCGACAACCCCTTTGTTTTCAAGTGCGTTCTTGTGGTTATTTTAGACGCTACTGCCGATTTGATATTGATTCGGCAGGCATATATCAAACCTCCCGCACACTCGTGGATGGGAGCGCAAGGTTGCGGATGGCCCACCTTGTGTGGTGTTAGCCAGCCCTGGTTTCGTAACGGTAGGCGCAAGTCGAGAGCTGCTTGAGATGTGGGCGCCGGATTCCAGAAACGGCATTATCATCACAGGCTACTCAATTGAAGGCACGATGGCGAGGGTGAGTGAACGCTCATTATGTTCACATCTCTCAGTATGGAGCGTCATCTTGTATGTACACGATTCAAAGCAATGTACTTTTCTTTCACTCCTGCGCGACCCTCTTGAGCGATCACTTTGTTCACAAATCCCCCTAAATGCATAGGACATTCAAAGCGAACCCGACGAAATTATGTCTCTCAAGGGCGTCCCCATTCCGCGCAAGCTTTCTGTCGATGAAATTTCATTTAGTGCCCACGTCGATTATTCGCAGAATTCTGAGTTCATCGAGATGGTCAAAGCCCAACATATCGTGAGTCTACGATATTTGTTCTCCCTGCGAGGCTTACAGCCGTTGTCTAGGTCCTGGTACACGGTGAACAGACTGCTATGGGGCGACTACGAGCTGCAATGACCGATAGGTATAAGAGCCGGGATGAAGATGTGAAGATCCACACGCCTCGAAATTTGGAGACGCTTGAGCTCACATTCCGTGGCGAGCGAGTTGCAAAAGTAAGGCTTCTGCTTTTAAGCACTTCGAATCTAACTTCAATATCCGCTCCGAACCAGGCGATTGGCACCTTGGCTGCCCAGCCCCCACAATCCGGAGACCTCCTCTCTGGCTTGCTTGTTGCTAAGGACTATTCGTATACGCTGTTAGATCCACGGGACTTGCGAGACTTCGCTGGTTTATCGACATGTGTGGTCACACAGCGGCAAAAAATGGTCCTCGGTGTCGGCTGGGATCTCGTACGGTGGCACTTGGAAGGTATGTTCGGTAAAGTCGAAGAGGGTTTGGACAAAGACGGTGTTCCAACAATTCGAGTTTGTCGATATAATTGCTCGATATGCGTCGGTAATACTCACAAACTCACAGGTGATGGGCGCGGTGGATGTCAAACAGAGTCAAGAGCACGAGTTGATACTCGAATGGGATTCGAGTGCAAGTAACGACATGATCGCTGATTCTACGCTTGCATTATTAACCGGAATTGACAAGAGCCCTGCCTCTGTGAAGTGTACGCACTCGTGTCCTTTTTATCTAATTCCAGCTTTTGATTTTGCTTGTCGGTTCCGTCTCCACGCAGTAACCACGCACCCACATTCTCACTCACATACACACGCCCCCGAACACCCCCATCCGCACGCAGACGTTGAGGATGAGAGTGCAGAAGTGACACGCATTCAACGGCTGGCAATGTTCCTCGAGGCACACTTCGGCGAAGTCGAGCTGCACATGCCTGAGGAGACAGATGAGCCTGAACAAGGCGAGGATGCCCACGAGCCATCGCTACTCGTGCGACTCGATGAAGCAGACGCACTCATTAACTTGGTTTCCATGGTCAGTCGCTTGGTATAAACTTTGGGACCTGTTCATGACACTGCTTCTTGATGTAGACGGTGAGCAGCACAAATGAGGCGCTGAGGAAACGTGTCGAGACAATACTCGATATGGCGGTGTCTACCGTCAGCTCCCTCAATGAATCGTTCACGTCTGGCATTGCATTGACCTCCGAGGATATCGCACAGCATGATGTTGTGAAGGACAAGTCAAGTAGCTCTCCGATGCCCTTGGGGGTCGTTCCGGAGGAGCCTGCACACGTCACCCCTCCTGAGGTCGAACACCCAAGCGATGGGAATGTCTCAATGAAACAAGAAATAGCTGAAGAATTGCCAGCTGAGGATGTAGTTGAGACAGAGCCGATTGAGCCCAAGGAGGCCATACAGGCAGCAGCAGTAGTGAAGGGAGGTGAGCGTAGTCTCGGAGCTGATGGAGAGGACGGAAGCGACTCGGGGTCAGAGGATGATGGGATTCTAGAAGTGCACAACTAATGTAGCCCCCAAATCCTTAGTTTCAAAAGGCTCGGTGCATTAATAGTTTATTGTTCTTGAGGAAGGGTTTTTTACGAATACAGGCACGGCTTCTCACTGATAGCTACATCGTTGGAACTTTCACTCTCTCAGGGCATTGGACTACCTTCATGGGTCCTCCCTCTTTACCTCTGCTTCCGTCCATGACTCTATACTGTCATGAGACTCTTGAGTCTGAGGTAAGGAAACGTCTTGGATCTCGTCCGGTGCGTCATCTACGATGTCTTCACTCGTCGACATAGACATAGAGAAACTTTCTTTATGACCATTGGGCGGTTCAACACCCTGACCCTCGCAGAAATTAGCGATGCGCTGCGGCGTGCTCGGCGCACCTTCAGTTCGAGAATGCATACGGATAGGCATCCAACTTGAAATTGATTGTTCAGACGGAGGAGAGCCAGAGAAGCCTTCATTATTGCCTTCTGTTTGTGCGGCCATAACTGGCAATTCCATCGGACCTTGTTCAATCCTCACTTGAGCGACCTGACAGCGTTGCAGGATAATTGCCGACACGCCCAACATCATCTTAAACACGTACCTCCCAGGTTTCCTCAAGAATGACAGCGGTACCATTCTTGCAGCTGCGTATGCAAGACTCTGCTACATCATGACGATCTGTGTCCTCTTGCGAGGAGGAATCCCCCTTCAGGGGAGACAAATAAATTCCAGGACCAGGAGCGAACGATTTCCCTTGCGATGATAATGGCGTCCGTTCCTCATCAGACGACTGCCCAGACGAATATCCAGATGCTCGCGAAAGTAAGTCATATTCCCCCGCCAGATGCGTAGGGACACGGTCAGGTAGTATCCAAGTAACATTATTCTTGTCCACTTCGTCGGCGTCGTTGGCGGGAGAGAGTGGGAGAATAGAGGACGAGTTGGGTGCATCGTCCTTGATAATTGGAGTACGCGGAATAGCTATGTCGAATCCAACGTCAGCTCGAGACCTTGTCATCGTCATGCCGTTAGTCCCGCCGCAGTCAAATGGCTCCCATGTGAAGTCAAGTTCTTTCGGATCATATAGGTCTACAGTATGATCATAGTTCAAATGAAGCACGTTATCATCCTCCTCGGCGGGATCGAATATGCAGGGGTCTTCGACTGGAGAATCAAAGTATACTCTGGTGTTTCCTCGTCGCGAGTGCCCCTTGTAGAGAGGTCCTGGCACAGAGAAGGGCAGAGGCAATTGATCTGCGAAAAGCACAGCAGAAAGCGAGTGACACTGATGATATGCCGTCGTAAGGTCGTCACATTTCTTGGTAGTATTCAAACCGATCGGCGATGATGAAGCGAAGAGCTCATCAAATAATACGCATGGAGACCGCGAGTCATGAGCAACACTTGGAAGAGGCTCTGATCTTGGAGAAATTGACAATCCGGGTGCGATATGAAATGTATTTGCATTAGTACCATGAGAGGGAACTTGTGATACATTTGTGGTATATGGAGCACCAAGATTGGCCACAGCAGGAGAATGCATTGTAGTTGCATTAGTTAATCGCACAACATTCGGCATCGTGGAACCAGCGGTCAAGAACGGAATAAACTCTCCTTCGGTACCATTCTGGGAAGAATGGGGCATATAGTCCACAGCAAAGGAGGATACTTGTGAAGAGGAAAGACCACAGCTGACAGCTCTCAGGGGTGGAGCAGCACATAGTGAAGAAGCCGGGCCTGGCGTTGAGAATGGCAAAAATCCAGAGTGAGGCATCTCAGAGAGATCTGACGATAAGACTAGGGAGGTATCATTTAATTCAATCCTCGATATCGTCGGGGCCGTATTTCCAGCTCCAGTGTCGTCCGAGCCCATAAAGGCCGGTCGTGGTAGACAACCTGGGTCTTGCAATCCTGTATCAATACATGGCCCTGTACGTTTGTGCGACATAGAAGACGCGCATACAAGCGACGTGTCTTTCGCCTGGGGGGATGCTTCTGATGGTTCTTGTTGCGGATAAAACGCAAATACAGGCTCCTCAGCCACAATAGCGTCTGACGACGGTAATGACACTACAGTTGTCGACTTTAGTACGGATTGCAGTCCGAGAGCCTCTTGGTTTGGTGTTGCATTTTCGGGAGCTGGAGGCAAAAGGACACGCAAAGGATGCCGCGGGTCAAGTGTCGAGAGCGTATCACAGAGCCATGACGGGACGGCCGATGATCGTTGGTCTCTTTTAGGGACAGTGACAATAGAGCTGTGTGAGTAGCTGCGTGTGAAATCATTGTCGGTATTCGGCATCTTGAGAACAGCGAAGTTTCGTCCCAGTCTACCTCCGACCAGTCCATCGTATGCGTCTACAGGTGTCTTTGGCATGTCGTAACTCATAACACTGGCTGAAGAAGACGATGCAATGCGACGGCGACGGAGATTGGACGACGGGAGAGCACAGAAAGTATTGACCGTCTCAATCATTTCATTATACCTTGAGTTAAGGCCACATGTTCTCCGACGTTTGAAAGGATGTCCGCTGGGTGAAGTAACTCGCATGAAGCGCTACAGAATGACATGAATAGACCTACTAGACATCAGACGGCGAATCCGAATGCGGAAAAGCGGGGGGGTCAGTAGTTTGTGTAATGAGGCGTGAGGGCATCTGCACAGCGGTTGAGGAAAATATAATGGGGAAAGCAGAATATATGCGCGACATACGACGCGATTCACGTGCTATCCACTAAGCACTATGAACATGCAAGCTCCCATTGACTGTGTCGTCGCGACTCCAGATAAATTGATACGTCCGCCCACCGAACCTGTCGTTGAACTCGAATACAACGAATTCCCGCGCCGTCCCTTGGGGTCTTTACCGAGAGACCGAATGGAATTACTGTGAGATGACGAGAAAGAGGAGGCCCTGCAGATGATGGTGGCTCGAGCTATGGACACGACAGGCCGGAGCGCCCGTTAAACGTCATGGTCACGCGTGTCATTATTATCTACTTCGCGCCACGACGCCACCGAAATTAACCTTTGGTACTGTCCGTACTGGTACCGCTTCTCTGAGTTTTATACAACTGACCGGTATTCTGACAGTAAGTCAGAGACTCATAGCTCCGGACCAGCATGCGTCTTCCAGCCGACCCATCCATGTTCACACGTCCCAGTATCATCAATAATTTATCAGGTACGATGTAACTGCTACTACTAGGAGATCTGGCATGAGCACTCTGAAGATTCAATCTGCGCGCAGAACATAGGTCTTTCAAAGTGCGCTTACCTCCAGGGGGCTCGCATTGACCTGTGCGCGAGGGCCCATTACACCAAGCGCTGGCGAGTATTTATGGGTCTCATCTTTCTCCTAGGAGAAATTTTCCCGATCGACGACGAAAGATGGCGCAATCCCACCTCCCGAGTCGTGCAGTCGCTGACAATTTAAGGTTTACCTCCCCGTCCATGCGTAGCGACAAGTGCGCCATGTCTTCGTCTAGATGGCGTAACAGTCTACCTCGGCTTCTTCGACCCACCGGTGGGTATGAGCATCCCAGCGGTTGTCAGACCCATATGCCATCGAGCTGGCCTGATGACGCGATATATAAAGCACACTGCTGGTAGGGATGGCACTTACCTTGTGTATCGCTCTACGCCTTCTCAACCACACTTTATCCTTTACAATGGCTGCCGCAGTTATTGTACCCATGCCTACCTCAGCCTTGAATACCTTGTCAACCCCCACAGCGGATATAGCCCTTGCCGAAGATGTATCGAGGCCTAGCATTGTCTCATTATCGAGGTGAGTACCATAAAATCGTGCTGTAAAACCATGTCCTACGCGTACTCACGACGTATTATCTTGAAGTCCCAATCCTATTCTCTATCTTCCTCCCATCCTGTCTTCTCTACCTGAGAATACGCTATCCGTTGAGGCGCCCGTGTACATTCAGGGATCGAACCCGCTCACAACCGACTCCCGTTTGCCTTCTATTGATACCGCTTCTCTGGCACTACACACCGAGCTGCATCGTTTCCATCCGATAACCTCGGATTACGCGAGTGTGCCCTATGATTTGGCTTTCAACTGGGAGGATCTCCATCTTCCAGAGTCCGCAGAAGGGGAGTGGTATTGCGTGGTGTTTCGTAGCAAGCGGCGCGAAGGAAGTAATAGCGGTCGTAAGTTATACCCACTCTGTTTGACCTGGGCGAGTTTATCTGTATCATTTGGTCATTAGCGCTGTATGAAGCGGATCGAAAGGCTCACGAGGAAGCAGTTCAGAATGGAGGCGTGAGTCGCGTCTTGTTTTCATTCCGTCAGATATTCTGTTTATGGTACTCAATATGTCACTATCTAGCTTCTGATGTACTGGTACGGCACACCACATCCCGAGACGGGTGCAAACCTGGCAACTTGCATATGGCAATCGCGCGATCATGCCGCTGCAGCTAACCACCGGCCACACCATGTCCGAGCTATGCGTCTGGCTGCCGCAGCCTACGAGTACTACGTACTGGAGCGACACTGGCTGCGCAAAGCCAAGGGTGAAACACGCTTGAAATTGGAGCCTTTCGTTGCTTTGCCTGCACAATAACCGAGCCTAGAGACTGTTACTGTATACCTTGTCGATCGCTTCCTAGATGTTAACTGTTTTGCATTCGCTGTCGTGATGTTGTCCCAGTTTCTTGTGAGTTCTTGTCCTGTACTTTCTTATCGGTATATAATGTGGCTAGACACTAGTTGAGTCGAATGTTCTCTACGGTTGTTTGGTTCGTCTATGACACATATGGCGCAATGGCAGTGCGAGATTCTGTAATAGATCGAAGGTATCATCAGGAGCTATAAGTGGCAATCATCGAATTGATCGAGACGCGACCAAGTTTCTGCTGTTCATGCAGTCTGACGTTGTCTCCTATACCATCCAACTGCTATGAATTGTTCTTGAATATCGCCGCCAAGTAGGTTTTGACTTCCATTGGTTAAGAGGGCCTTGATCCCCGGATCGGGTAATGACTAAAAGAGGATTAACAATTCGTTATCAAAGGTCTCAGTATGTGCGCTAGGTACGCCGAGAACTCTCAGATCTCCTCCAGCTGAGATTTTCCACCACCATGGGGAACATGAGCGATACTGCGCCTGATACCTGCGGTAAAGATCTGCCTCTGTTCCGAACAGAGGGACACAGGCCTCGAGATCGAAGGCGAAGACAATGGACTGCTGCCTTGATAGTGCTCTGTCTCTTCATCCTAATCTCCCGGAGATCGCTCGTCGGCTTTTCTTGCTTCAGCAGCAGTCATTCTCGTGGCACTCGACGACCAGCGCCATCTGGTACACGTAACAATGCGTACATCGTCGAGGCAACCCATGGGGCGGTTGCGAGCGAGAACGAGATGTGCTCGGAAATTGGAGTGGGCATACTCAAATCTGGCGGTAACGCTGTCGATGCAATCATCAGCACGACACTATGCATTGGCGTCGTGAACATGTTCTCGTGAGTACATCTCGATCGATACACGAAACTTCTGGCTTATGAGAGTAGCTCTGGTATTGGGGGCGGAGGTTTCATGACGGTACGCGTACCCCCAACATCGCCGAATGCCTCGTCAGAAGTATACACCATCGACTTCCGCGAGGTCGGACCTGCTCTCGCAAACACGACCATGTACCTGGAAAACCCCGAAAGCTCGATGTTTGGGGGTCTAGCTGCTGGGGTTCCTGGGGAGCTGCGCGGTCTTGAAGAAGCTCACAAGAGATGGGGGACTCTTCCCTGGAAGAACCTTGTGCAGCCCAGTGTCGAGTTAGCCCGTGGATGGACGGTCCAGACCGAGTTAGCACGCAGAATTCACATGAAGGTTGGTTGCATTACATTCTATAGATACCTGCGTTCAACACATTTGGAGCATAGGGTTTCAGGCACTTGATGCTCGACAATCCAGATTGGAGCTCTGTCTTTGCGCCATTGGGCCGCCTCCTGGAGGTAGGCGACACTATCCGGCGTACCAACCTCTCACGCACCCTCGCGACAATAGCCGAGGAGGGTGCGGGGGCCCTTTACAAGGTCGGTGGGATTAACACCATTGTCTTAAATTGATATCGACCTTTTTCCCGCAGGGGCCTATCGCAGATGCAATTATTGCTAAAGTCAGAGCAACCGGAGGAGTCATGTCTCACAAAGATTTAGAGAATTACCAAGTTGAGGTGAAGCCTGCACTTCAGGGCACATATCGCGATCGAAAGATTTATACAACGCATGCACCGACCTCTGGACCCGTACTACTCCACATGCTGAACCTTATGGAGCACTATGATGAGTTGCTTCCGGATGGCAGGTCTTTACTCAATACGCATCGGTACATTGAGGCTATGAAGTGTAAGTGCTACTCTTTTTTTGCGTCGACGCGTGCATTACTGACGAAGCTGTAATTATCATAGTCGGCTTCGCTGCACGGTAAGGAGCAATCAATGGCTTGTGAGCCCAAGTTGACACAATGTTACAGCACACGGGTTTGCGATCTAGCATTCACCACTGATACCAAACAGATAGACGAGATTCCCACTAAGGAATATAGCGATATAGTCTTCTCTAATATCACAGATGTGAGTCCGCTTCTTCGTTCAAATTAGTTTCGTGTATATTAGACAAACGACCTCGTGGTGTAGTCAATGCTGACATATATCTCGTTCTTGGTAGGACCGAACTCATACACCTGACTATTATCACCCGATATTTGATGTGGTTGAGGATCACGGTACTGTGCGTATGATCCTACCTCTCACTGCGAAGAAAGTGCTGACCCACCCTTCTCTGACAGAGTCATACATCGGCGGTGGACAAGAATGGTATGGCTGTCGCGGTAACTTCTACTGTCAATCTTGTGTTTGGATCCCAGGTCCTTGACCCCATAACTGGCATCATCCTTAACGACGAGGTGCGCATATATTCCCCCAATCAGCTCATCGTAGTAATGATCGCCTAGATGGGTGATTTCTCTACACCTGGGGTCGCGAATCCATTCGGTTTATATCCATCACCATGTCAGTATGTTGTCTCCGATTCGCTGGTCGGCCACTTACATCTCCGGCGTCGCAGTCAACTACCCCGAGCCTGGGAAACGTCCACTGTCGTCTATCACTCCAACGATTATCGAGCACGAGGACGGCTCATTTTATCTCGCCATCGGCGGTTCTGGCGGTTCTCGGATATTTGGATCGGTCTTCCAAGTAATTTTGAACTTGGACTGGGGCATGGATGTCAGCGCTGCCATTGAGTACGGGCGCTTACACGATCAATTGTTCCCAACCAGTGTCGATGCGGATAATGTGTATTCTGCGGAGATCCTGGACGGTCTTCGAGAGAAGGGGCACAATATCACTGGTAAGCGACTTAGCTTTGCGACGATCAGTGGCGGAAGGTTCAGTTTCATGGTCTAGTGTCGGATATCAACCGTGTTGCGGCGGTCATTCAGGCAGTTGCGCAAACAGATGGCATCATATATGGTTTGTCCAACCTATTATCTTCTCGCATTGTTGTTTGACTAACGTATTACGCCAACAGCTGCGAGCGATTCGAGAAAGAATGGTATTGCTGCGGGATATTGATTGGTCGTCGCTTGATATAGTTCTGCATCGTTCGCTTGTGTTCTTCGTACCTTTCGCGCCATGATCAAGCAATTCATCTCAAGACAACGTTGTCACTATTTGAATAAGACCAGGTGACCGACCGCGTCCCTGCAAAGAAATTCGGGCAAATATCACGTGTACGTGTATAATTGAACTACAGCCCGTAGATTCTCCGTTTTCGCTGGAGGTGGCCAATACTTTCACATCTCTATTATATCTCTCTGAATACAGTGCGATACGCGGTCAGGAACATTCTCGTGGACAAACTTCGGATGCGTGTGTACCTCACGACGTGTTCTGTTCTGCGAGCTTCGCACTCTGATGCCGGGTCGTTCACTATATAAAGCCACTCGACGGCTTCGAGGTGACTCCAGCGCTGAGTAGCTGGAGGATCGCTAAACAATGCGTTTACGTTCGGTGATTCCCTTTGTGACAGCATTCGCTCCTTTGGTGGGGGCTGCCTCAATCGTAGAGAGAAAGGTACGCCATCCTTACTAGTGCCTTCGTTTGCTTGCATTAACTTGCCTATGCTTCAGCACGCTGCCAGAGATGCCAGTGAGTTGTTGATTGCCTAGATATGCAAATAGACTTTAGAGTAGTCACCCTAGCGTCTACATCAGCTGTGACAGGATATGTGAAGACTTCAGGCCAGAACTTTGTACTGGATGGAGAAACATTCACGGTAGTGGGGTGAGTGGTCCTTCAAAACTTGGTATCGCAAATATTGGCTCAGACGTTTTGGCATGGAAAGTGCGAACTCATACTGGGTTGGCCTCACAGGGCTCACCACGAGTGAAATGGACCAAACCTTTTCTGACATCGCAGCAGTAGGCGCCACCGCGGTCAGGACATGGTAAGATTGTCTCAGAGCTGGGAATTTCAGCCTAACGATCGCTCGTAGGGGCTTCAATGATGTGACTACACCAAGCGGTGACTACTACCAGCTCTGGACCAATGGTACTGCGACAGTGAACTACGGTCCTACCGGACTAGAGAACTTCGGTACGTTATGAGTCTCGTTCCACGACTTATTTCACAATCTGACCGTATCACAGATAATGTCGTTGCGGCCGCTAAAGCATACGGTATCAGACTGATAGTCACTCTGTACGTGAAGGGGCCATTGATAGTAGGCAAACCAACTGATTGGCATTTCTAAAAGCACTAATAACTGGGACAATTATGGTGGAATGGATGTTTATGTCAGCGAACTAACTGGGACAGACTACCATGATTACTTCTACTCTGACCCTGTAGTCATCGTAGGTGTTTTCGAACTGCTCAGCTTGTATTCTCACTGAGTTATTATTATCCTAGGCTGCTTATAAAACCTACGTTAACGCGTTCGTTAGTCGCTACATTGACGAGCCTGGTATCCTCGCTTGGGAGCTCGCCAACGAGCCGCGATGCGCGGGCAGTACAGGGTGTGCTTCTTATCTAAACATAAACACGCAAATTTGAAAGCTAAGTGAAGGCATATGTTAGCGTTACCTCAGGCAACTGCACCGCTCCCTTGATTACCAGTTGGATTGCGGAAATGTCAGCTTATATCCACTCGATTGATTCCAACCACCTTGTCGGCATTGGAGACGAAGGCTTCTTCGATGACCCGAGTAGCACCGACTACCCGTACCAGTGCGTATCCCACTACCGTGAAATGGCTCCCCTTGACGTTGAACGCGCGCAGGGGTGGAGAAGGCATTAATTTCACAGCCAACCTCGCTGTACCCACTATTGACTTTGGAACCGCACACGTACGTTGCTTCGTCGGAGCTGTATGATATTTCGTCAGTACTGACTTACTACAGTTATATCCTGTTAGCATTCCATCATAAATTTCACACTGGCCTAGCTGACATTTCAATCACTATAGCTCAGCTGGGGTGAGACCGAGGACCCCATCGAATGGGGCGTTGAGTGGATCGAGAATCATGCCACTGCGCAGAAGGCTCAGAATAAGCCCGTCTTGTTGGAGGAATTTGGCATAACGAGCAACAAGACTGAGACGTACGAAGCGTGGTACTCAGCAATCGTTAGTTCTGGTTTGACTGGAGATCTCATCTGGTTAGTTGCTGCACTCATTCTAATATGATAATCCGGATACTAAATATATGGGAATATTTAGGCAAGCCGGCTCCTACCTTGCAAGCGGACCCACACCGAACGATGGTTACACGGTGCGTTTGCAGTTTAATATACGCTCGTAGTATATAATATAATGAACGAACTATAGGTATATCCCAACGACACTGTATACGGTCTTGAGGCCTATGCTGCTGGACAACTGAAGGCAAGAAACGCTGCATGAGTGTATGAGCCGTTGTTCTGGAGCAGGTCGAAAGCGTTTGTACTTCCGCAGATAATACCATCGCCTATATCGTGAATGCAGGTCAGCGTGGCGGACAACTTCCGAAACTGAACTTTTTTGCTCGAGTGCATCGGGATGATCAAGCCCATGCCTGTCCCCTTCTTCTGTAAACAAGCCTATAAGTTGGACATCTAATGTGCATCGTGACCTAATAGTGCCAGCTTCAAGTAATCAGCGTGACTGTTTATTCAGAATTGCAAGGAACTATACATAGATAGTCCCGCTTGTTCGACTCCGACACTGGGCTTGACTTCACGGTTTATCCCGCTTTGTTATCCCGAGTGCGCAAGTAGTGAATGCGATAGCGATCACAATCTGCGAGGACATTCATGTAAGCCTAAGAGTGCAGGTCGTGCATGCCTAAATCAACTTTGACGGTGATCCGGTCGCCGGTTCTGTCGGCCGGGGCGGGAATCCTTAGTTTGCTACTAGCCTACCACCACACGTCCACTGGTACCGCCCAGCCCTTTCTCGACGGTGTAGCGTTCGACAAGTATCCGGAATTGACAGCAGTGGCCTCAAGGTTTTATGCGCATAAGATGATGCGATAGGGGAAGCTGAAGGTGCTAGGGCGCTCTCGGGAGCGGGTCGAGTTCTGAGGCGATCCTAATCCGAATTCATGGCGGAGGTCATATAAGGAGGCCGAAATCCGTCCCCAAGGGGCGACAACCGTCCTTTGTGTAGCGTCGACGTTTCTAGCACAACACCTTTGCCAACATTCATGTTTCCTCTCGCCTGTAAGTCTGTCCCTCTGGCCGCTGCACGCGCTTGTTTCCACGGTCGAGCCGCTGCGCCACGTCTTCCATCCACATCCCGACTCGTAAATGCTACGCGTACGTTCTCAATCTCCTCAGCTCTCTTAGGCGCTGCCGCCGCCGTGGGACGAGCTTCACCTGTGGGAAATGGTGTACCACCAGCGGAACCTTGGAAGCGGCACATCAGTCCTGATCCTTCGACGCCCACTGTCTTCACATTCTTCGAGAAAGCAACCTCGACCTGGCAGTATATTGTGGTCGACCCGCACACTTCGGACGCTGTGGTGATTGATCCTGTCTTAGACTACGATGCCAGTTCTGGATCCATCACAACCCAAACTGCGGACGGCTTGATTTCATTCATCCGTCACAATGGATTGACCGTCCGTCGCGTTCTGTAAGCATCAATGTATACCCTGCGTCTCTTCTATTCCTACAAATCACAGGTTCTGACAGTTGTCTCCACGATCTAGGGAAACTCACGCACATGCGGACCATCTGACCGCTGCTCAGTACGTCAAGCAGCAACTTGGCCAGGACATTTCCGTATGTATTGGCCAAAGAATCACCAAAGTGCAGGAGACCTTCGCTCCCATTTACGGCTTGGACGATATTTCCTCATTTGAGAAGGCGTTTGATTGCTACTTCAAGGATGACGAGGAGTTCAAGCTCGGTGAACTGTCTTGTCGCGTGATGCACTTGCCGGGCCATACACCAGATCACGTTGGCTACCTTGTCGGAAAGGCTGTATTCACAGGAGATTCTATATTTAATGTACGTCTCATACCCCCTCACTATCGTGGTGTTATCTCATCATCGTTTCACGTCAGCCTGACGTTGGATCCGCACGAGCAGACTTCCCGGGTGGGGATGCAGAAGATTTGTACGCGGTGAGATCTTATTCCACGGTTGCCAGATGATGTCAACTGAGCCATCCACTGTAGTCGATGAAACGACTGCTCTCCCTTCCACTAGATTACCGTCTTTTCGTTGGACACGACTACCCACAGGATCGCGATCAGACTTGTTGGTCGACCGTGGAGGAGCAACGCGAACGCAATAAGCATCTGAAGCTAGGTACCGACCCCGAGACCTTTATTCGCTGGCGAAGGGAGCGTGATGCTGTGCTCGGTGCGCCGAGACTGCTTCATCCATCGCTTCAGGTGAATATACGCGGGGGGCGACTGCCACCCAAGGACGAGAAGGGCCGAGTATATTTCAAGATCCCAATCACCTCGACAGTAGATCTATGATTGTCAACGTCTTTCGTTGAGGGGTTTGATTGCTTTAGTGATTGGTGTACCGTGCCCTTTGACAGCCTATAATTCGGAGTAGAGTTGAATTAGACGGCTCCGGATCCTAGTCAATACTCGTCCCTCTATTGCTACCTCAGAAAGCTTATGATCGCTGAATTATGGAATATATATGCCTTGGTTTTTGCTTGGAAAGGTGCACAATTGAAATCCACGAAGCTTCTTGACGGGGCCCGAGTCGGGACCTGTGCATCGGAGGGCCGCCCGGAGCACATATGTGCCCAATCGGTTCAAAACTTGCTACCGATCATCAGTGTCGCTTGCGTTGGACAATCGCTTTTAGTAGTAAATAACACTGTAAGATAAGAGCGTGGCAAAAGCATGCAAGGTACGTTTCAACTCCTCCCTCCCACTGTGTTTTCCTGTGCTCTTGATCATGATGTCTATGCAGTCGGCGCAACTTGGGTCACTTGTGAGAAGATGCGCACGACCGAGCTCTCACCTGTCTGTGCTCAACACTCAATTACGCGTGAACAGTCAAGCACGATATGGGTCCACCAGCACTGCACTTAGTATTGAGGTCAGTCCACTCAAGTCAAGTCGTCTTGCACATGTGTCGAAATCTGAATTGGGAATCAACACGGTCGCCAGCCTTCGCGAGTGGAAGTCGAGCTCACGCAGCAGCCTAAATCTAAGCCAGACCCATCTACGCTTACATTTGGGAAAACCTTCGTGAGTGGAATTCGATCAATGTATTGTGAACGCATGTCGACTGGTTTTCTTTGCACGTGAACAGACTGATCATATGTTAACGATCCCTTGGAATGTCCTCACAGGATGGGGTGCACCTCGAATTCAGCCTTGTATGTGGTGAGCATCCGGATGCATTGGTAGCTAACGCTTTGCCTCTTGTAGATCGCCCACTAGAACTCGAACCGAGCGCGGCTGTGCTGCACTTCGCGTACTGTCTGTTCGAGGGTCTCAAGGCTTATCGCGACTCCCAAGGGGAAGTTGCGCTGTTCCGACCTGACATGAACATGAAGCGAATGAACACGAGTGCAGAGCGTCTGACGTTACCCGTGCGTTGCTTCTATAGTGATATCCGATGCGTAGTTGACCATGTCTCCATGCATCGAACAGACATTCAACGGTGATGGTGTAATCGAGCTTGTGAAAAAGTTGATCCGACTGGACAAAGACTGGGTCCCGAATGAAGCAGGGTACAGTCTCTATGTACGACCTTCGTTAAGTGAGTCCTATATGCGAACTTAATGGGTAGCAGAGTCTAATGACAATACCATCCGATAGTTGGTGTGGAGCCAACCCTAAATGTTGGGCCTCCCTCGGATGCCCTCCTCATGGTCATCTGTAGTCCGGTCGGACCCTACTACCCACATGGCTTTAAGCCTGTGGCACTCTATGGAACAACTGAGTACATTCGAGCAGCGCCGGGTGGTACGCCTTCATTGTTTAATTAGAACAGGCACGTACTGATTCACATATTTTGCACCTCAGGTATTGGCGCGTACAAGCTGGGTGCTAACTACGCTCAAGGCCTGGTCGCACAGAGGATGGCCGCTAAGCTTGGATACATGCAGAACCTCTGGTTGCATGGCCCCGATCACCTAGTCACCGAGGTGCTGATTCTCTTAATATCGGGTTCTCCCTGAATAACCGTTCGTAGGTGGGCACCATGAACGCGTTTGCGGTGTTCAAACATCCCGACGGAGGTATTCCTAAGTCCAAACTCAAACTCTTTACCCACTGATATGGTCCATGAAGTTGTTGAACTTGCAACTCCACCATTAGATGGTATGATCCTCCCGGGAGTGACGCGCGATTCTGTGCTTGCTCTCGCGCGTGATCACGTAGCGGGCAAGTCAAACATACCAGGCCTTTCGGAGAAGCTAATTGTGTCTGAGCGTTCAATACCTATGAAGGAGGTCAAGGAGGCTGCGCGGGCTGGGACATTGGTTGAGTTCTTTGGTACAGGTGAGTGGAACGGCCAACAAAATCCACTTTATGGGCCAGCGACATCAAGGAGGTGTTGACGACTTGCATATAGGTACGGCAGCGGTAATTTGCCCCGTGGATCGCATTGGATATCTCGGCGAGGATGTGCATCTCCCGACAGGCCCCGATGGAATGGGGCCAGTATCACGTCCCATTTGGAAGCATCTCGTGGGGATCCAGACGGGAACCATTCCCCACCCATGGCGAGTACCTATCGTGTAGACAGGTCGTCAGGCGACATCGTGCATGATGTGATCGTTGTACCAAAATCTGAGGCGGGGCACGGTCGTTCATTTTGGTGGAGCTGAGCTGCTTCTTACACAATGTAAAAATGTTTGTCCAGAAGACTGGCTTTGCCTATGCCCGTCTGCCTCGTGCGAGAACGCGGGGGATGAATTTTTGGTGTTGGGTCCTATTTTGAGGTGAATATGAGTAGCAGATGACGTCGGTCCGACATACACACAGGGCGAGGATCTCATAGCGGGAGAGCTGAAGCCTACGCGAAGAGGTACTTCTATCCTGGCATGTCTTGTGAGTACTCCCACGCCGAGCATAAGATGATAGCGTCGGTATGATGCATTGTCTGTGGGATATGCAAGGATGCTGGATTCAGCGCACTGGACAGAATTTTCTATCAGATGAAAAGGCAAGGTTTGATTTCCCTTTGCGCATATGCATGTGCACATTGGCGGTTATGTATCCAAGCAGCGTGGATTGGGTGTGGTGGGCTGTGCAACTTCGAAAGGGGAGCGAACACAGTTGACAAAAACGAAGGCACACACGCGGCATACACCACATCGACGTCTCTGAAGGACCAGTACCCGTGGTGGTTCCGCAGAGGGTCGACCGAAACGGATTGGGGCCAGAACCATGCGTCCCACGTGACCGCGTGTGATGCCTGCCCGTCGCGTCTGGCTTAAAAGCGACCGCTGGACAAGACCGAGAGGTAGGCATATCATCCCCTCTCAGGCATCGCCATGGCTGGTCAACCTACCATGCTCAAGCTCTTCGGAATCCGCTCTCGCTCTCGTTCCCCTGCTGGCGAGAAGAAGGAGCCCACATCTGAACCTCCCGTCGAGCACCACGACGCGGTGGCTGGCAGTGACCATCAAGCTGAATCGCATACGAGCGACGCAGAGCATACTCCCGATACCCATATAGACGCTGCGACTCACAGTTCACCACTCTCAGAGGCGAAGACACCTGCTTCCCCTTCTACGGCTGGCTCCGGAGGAGAGGAGCAACAGAATTCCAAAAGGCCTACTGAGAATGCTCAGCGACGCTTCTCATGGCTGCCCCTCGGGAAGGGTGCCAACCCAGAGGTCAAGCCTACAACCCAGGAGCAGGAGAAGAAACCCGTGGTAGAGCAACCAGCATCCAGGCCGACGATAGCCCGCACGCGCTCCGAGAAGCAAGCTCAGCAGTCCGCATTGGTCCTTCGCGAACTCATCGTCGGCCCATCTTCGACTGCATCCAGCAAGTCCAAGTCCAAGTCCAAGGCTACATCTGGTGCTGATGTAGATAAGGTCAAGGCGCAGCTGGGACGGCCAAAGTCAGCGAACAAGGTGATTGCGCAGCTCCGGCAGCTGTCGTCTTCAGACGAGCCTGTTGTAGTGGGGACAGGTCCGAACGGGGAAAAGCTAACCGCTGTCCAAAAGGGACCCATCCATGCCGTATGCCTACCGTATCGCGATGCAGAAGCACACGAGCGCCATTTCTCCCAGCTCGCGCAAAATAAGGCGACAACGGCCGCATCTGCACAACCCCCGAAGACGACAGACACGAAGACGAGTGTACATAGCGTTCATGTAGAGTCGACAACTACGACCGCAGAGGTCGTCAGTGTTGCGAACGCATCTATCACCACGCTGAAAACCGTCTTCTCAGAGATGAATCTTGTCAGCCTTATCACGACACCTGACCTTGGCCTCAATGGACCTCCGGACGGCCCAGGGATATTGAGCGGCGCATTGCCCACAGCTCAGATAATTCTGGAAGGTGTAGAACAGATCACGCCCCAGCTGATGGCGCTAGGGTATGCCACAGGGAAAGCAGTGATGCCTGACCATGCTGGTATGTCCTTCGTAACTATAGAACCGAGATGATATCAACGCTGAATGCACCTCATCAGGTGTTCACCCTCCTACGGATCGAATGTCGGCGATCACCTGTATGTAACCTGATACATCATCGTATTTACGTGAAAGCTGAGACTCATTTTCAGATTGGTGGGGCTTTGAGATTGTGTTACCCCCGCCCTCATTGGAATATCTCCAGGTAGGTCCTTAGGTCCTATATATCTGTTTCGAGTCTGAACCGAGACGCTAGAATGTTCCCTCGATCACCCATGCTGTCATCAATTTCCTGACCGCCTTGTCTTTGGTCGAAGGAGGTGTACGCGAAATCATGCCTTTCATTCGTTACATTTCCCAGTTCATTGATACTGAGTTTAACATGATCCAAGGCGAGGATCAGGGCCAAGGAGTTGTATGTGCTGCCACTTGGTAAATGCTTCCTTTTCGGATGATCTTCATAAGTCTGATATTTGCTTCGTAGGATTATGCCCGCTGCATTGGTCCCACGACCTTGGGATTTCTCGCCTCCTCCTAAGGCAGCATCAATAGACACGTCAGCGGAGAAGCCCACATCCGATACAGCTACTTCTACGCCTGCAATCGCTCCTGCGAATATGTCGGTACCAACAATCGTCGTCGCAAGCGATACGCAGGATCAGAAGGTTGAAACGGCTCCGCCCCAGATTGAGCTGACTTCAGTACCATCCCCCTCCTCGGAAGTTCCCAAGGCTACAGCGGAGAATGAGGCCGGTCCCGCCGCAATTGCACTGGCCGCGTGACGATACACTTGCGTGGAACTCGCGGTATTGCAACATCGGACAATCCGTCGCTCTTTTTTGACCCTCTTTGATTCTCCATATGTTCTATTGCTCTGCTAGCCTACACACGGATACCCTCTCGGTTGCTTTCTGTACATGCCTCTTCTGATATTTTGGGTTGTCATAGTGCTTCTCGTTTTGGTCTCATTATCTTTACCTCCAGATAACAGCATTTCATAGCTCATATCTTACAGTCTTGATACCCAGCATATCGCATCGTACATCTCATGCATACATTTTGTCGATCGTTGTTTCAAGTGAGAGTTATTTGAGTCGAGTCAAGCTTGAGCACGATAGAAGGAATTACTCCCTATACTTGAATTCATGGATCGGGATGACTCATGGAGGTATAGACAATGCATGGATACAATTGACTTTGTGTACAGCAGCTATAATTCAGCATCATGATGAGCTCGCAAGAGTCGCCTCCTAATATAATATTATACACTTCAGATATTCCTCACTATCCTATCTCTAGGCCCAGGTGTAAGCCACCATAACGCGCTTACTGGGTTGTGGCGGTGCCGTCGACCTCTGAATCACGGTGAAGGGTCAGAACAGGAACCATGAGGCGGATGCATTACATGCCGATGTAATCAACGACGTCTCCTTGGAGGGATTGGAAACGATTAAAATACTCTTCCGGCAAGGTCGCGGAAAATCCCTAAAATGAAAGGGGTGCTCTGAGAAGCTGACCAAACGGATCATTCTTCGACACTCACTTTGAGGAGGGGCTCAAAGCTTTGGCTTACATGACCACCTTTGACGATACGGCAAACGTGAATAGGCCAGTATCGCGTATGCAGGCGTGAGGCGTACCGTTGTTATCCACATCTCTCGCGTAGTTGGCGACCTGATCAGCAGTTACGTGATCCTTAAAGACAACGATGTATTCTGTAGATCCGAGCGATCAGCGGACCGGAAGAGGGTGGGGGATAGGAAGGACACTGACTGCCAGACATTGCTGTGGAATTTCGGCTGAGTATAGCGAAGGACGTAGCGGGGGATTGGTGGATCTCGAGCGGAGGCAGTCGAATATAAAGGCTGCGAGCCACCAGTGCCACTCCCACTGCGGCCCTAGCAGTGTTCAGCACGGGGCCACCGCCATTCAGCAGGACCCCGGAAAATCCCCTATGAGGCTCGATCCCTCGGGCACCCATGTTCGGCGGTCGGAGGAGGCCCAAATCCGGCCTGTATGCTCCTGGAGATTAGTCGACTTTCGACTCAACTGGGATCGAACCTCGTAAAAATCGCAGAAATTGCGGCTTTTGTCTTCTTGTATTTTCTATCCATCACATTGACATTCCCCACCGATATGAGGGTGCTTCGAGACTGAATTTTCTGCTCCCTGGTCGGTGGGGATTCAACTGCTAGCTCCAAAATCTCCGAGACAGGCTTGAAAGGATCGAGGATTGCAGAAGGAAGATCGAGATCCATACTATCATTGCACCAGTAATGCAACATTTTCAGTATCTGGGCTCCCTATAGTGCAAATCTTACCAGAATGTTCCGGAGTTTTCATCAGTCTATGAAGAATGTTCGAAAGTACACACATGAATTTCGTAGGCTCAGTGTGTCAAGAATTAAGCAATACCGAGAGCAAAATAAAATCGCAACAGTAGTGCAACTTTTCTCCGAGGCACGTCACGTCAACCGTCACAACGCCGCGCATGCCGTTTTCTTTGTCCGCCCGGCGTTCAGTGGCTGGACTGCGAAGCTATGCGAAGTACGCCACTACTACCATCAGCTGTGTCAAGATTCACGATGCCGATTGTGGCTAAATGTCACAGATTTGAGTCGCTATCGTTCAAGACAGGATTCAGGAGGGGTTCGCTATGCAGATTATTCCGAAGAAATTAGAATAAGTGTGTGTATGTTCTTCACATGGCCATGGTGCGTTATTGTGTCAATCGGAATTGGTGATCACATGCCCGAGGCCACTCTTGATTGAGATGTAGTCCTCAAAACACACTTGCGAGGCATTCGAGTCGCTCTCGCATTTCTCATTCATACGAAACCTACACAGTAGTGATCATACTTGTATTTTGTATCATACATGATTTATTGGTACTTTTAGAGGCGGAGGAGCAGCTGTAAGTTCAGTAATTGCACTACTGTTGCAATTGTATTACTGGTGCAATGATAGTAGCGTTAGTAAACTTTCAAGACAAGACTTAGGTCTTTGAATGGTGCGCTGCAATCACATTGTGGCAATCTCGTATGAAACAATACAAATAGTGATGATTATTTTGGGGATGTTTGGGTTCAAGATAGCCTATTTCATTTGCTCGAGAAAGTAGTATGACTTTAAGTGATTGGTAGCACGCCGTTCGAGATCGGTGATATCATTGTCAATGTGAGACCCCCAAATTGGCGGCCATGGAACCGGAGATCCCGCCAGAGACCCTTGTTTCGGCGGTCATGAACAGCAACTGACCCCAAATTCGGCCCTCGGAGATTTAACATAAGGGTTCTGGGGACCCCCATTTCGGTAACTCTGGTATCGAGGTCCATAGGGGCTTTTCCCGGGCCCTCGTTCGACCGTATCTCAGGTCCCTTCAGGCTTCAGCTGAGCTCTTTGAAGCAGGCCATACTTACCGACCAAGCCTGAATGATGCAGGAACTCCCTGATCTTACCGAGATTGAAGTTCGTCTTCTCGGCACACATATGGAGCTGTGACTTTGTACTGCGTCGGACCAGCGCACTGCTGCTATTGCTCGAATGTTCGAACTTGGGCTAAATAGTAAGTTTCGCGAACTCATTGCATGTGAACAGGGAATGCCGTCCTAAAAATATGTGATCCCGGTCGTTTGACTAGTATCCAAAATATCCTTTGGACGGAGCGTATCTCTCATTTGCAGCTGTTACACGGCCTTCCCAAACCAACAATGGGTCCCACTGAGGACGGGCGGCAAACTGTCAAGCCTCAAGTTTCAAGGCTAGTATTGATATTGGAGCGTCACGCGGATAGTGCAGCGCTGTGCTTTGGCCCTTCACGCTGTATCTATCAATGATATATATCGCCATGATAAAATTTCCTCCTTTTCCTCACTCACTTGTCATCCCAGCTCCCGTTTGTGGACGCCATGTTCCGTGGACTGCTTCACTTGTTAACGGTGCCCTCCTTTCTTTCTGTTCTGGCTTATGGCTCGACCTCTCTCCAAACCTTTTGGCCTGCTGCCGTTCCTTTAGCTGTACGTTCACCCTACCTTAGTGCTTGGCAAAGTACTACTAAGGGCATCAATGTGACGAGCGAATGGTCGCGATTTTGGCCTAATCATGTTAGTAATCTGCGACTTCACTCGCGAGTTGCTAATTCATGGATATCCAGGGCTTGCTTTTAGGCTGGACGGGACACATCAGAGTGGACTCCACTACGTACAGGTGGCTTGGAAATGACACTTGGTCAACAGCAGGAAATCTTGCCGGCATAGAGGTCACACCAACGCGTACCATTTACAACGTTCAGGCCGGCCCGATGGATGTTACGATCACCTTCCTTTCTCCCATAGAGGTGCGCCTTGCAGGATTGAAACTCGTCTGTGAAGCTAATCAGCGGAAGCATGTAGCCGTCGGACTGGGTCCGGCAATCTATCCCCTTCTCTTACATGGCCGTCAATGCCAGTTCTAACGATGGACTAGCACACTCGGTGCAGCTTTATTCCGATATTACTGCAGGTAAGTGTTGAAATCTTTGCTTGCAAGTCAATGGTGTCGATCTGGGTATAATGTAGAGTGGGTATCCGGCAACCGGTCCGCTCTGGTAAACTGGAGTACTGCCACCACGGACCAAAGTGTATATCACAAGATTGAGCTCACATCGCCGACTGCGTTCGAAGAAATACAAAATCAAGCTAACGATGGTGTTGCCTATTACTCAATGACCATGGTGTGTATCTCGAAAGACCATAAAAGGGTATCTGATTTGATAATTTGTCAAGGGCCCCCACGTAACGTATCAGACAGGCTCGGCTCCGACCGTCCGCACCCAATTTCAGCAACAAGGTAGTTTACAAAATACGAACGATACCGACTTCCGCATCATTGGGCCGTGAGTAGCTGTCAGTCGTCAGCCCACGCATAAATGTTGAATTACAACAGAGCCGATCAGCCAGTCTTTGCAATTTCTGTAAACCTTGGTAGCATCCAGGCGACTCAATCGTCTGTTGTCTGGGCAATTGGTTACGTTCGAGACCCATCGATCAAGTATACCACCTCTTCAGGCCAAACCCAACTTCGCAGCCCGTATTATCGAACACAATATTCATCCGTTCAAGACATCGTTAGTGAATGGTATCTCTTAATGCGAATGATGTCTAAAATGCACTTAGATTTCGGAATTCTTGTCTGACTACAGCAATGCGGAGACGCGAGCAGAAGATCTCGATAATCAACTGATGCAGGCGTCATCGAGTATTTCTAATGAATACAGCCAAATTGTATCCCTCGCTGCTCGTCAAACATTTGGCTCGATAGATATCACTGTTGCCAACGGGACCGATGGCAACTGGAACACTTCCGATGTGATGATTTTTATGAAAAATATGGGGATCGACGGGTTAGTTGAGAAGATAAACTCTTTGTCTGTGCTCATCACTCTTTAGACGAGTAAATCCTGTAGAGATTATGTACGCCTCATTCCCCCTATTCCTTTACCTCAACGCGTCGTTCGGTAAACCACTTTTGGCACCTCTTTTCGAGTATCAAGATTCCCCTCAGACCGCTTTACCATACGCGATGTCTGATCTTGGTGAGTTGTTACTAGCCCCGACTTTGAAACGAGCCATCTTATGCGTAATTCCAGGGGGATCATACCCGATTGCATCCGGAGAGAATGGAACATCGAGCGAGAGTGAGAGTTCTTGGGGTATCGAACGCAAGTCTGCTTTGTGTTTGATGCCGTTTGGCCCTGCTTACGCTCTACATAGAATCTGGAAATATGCTCATCATGACTCTGGCTCATGCGAGGCTGACTGGAGATGGTTCACTGATTGGCCAACATGTACATCTCGATGCTTTCCGTTTGCCCTCGGGATATTGATTTTGGTGAATTCTTTTACAGTATGGCCTCCTTAAGAATTGGACAAATTATCTCCTTCAATACTCCCTAAATTTTAGTGGCCAGTACGCTCATTTTCTGCCAATGTTCTATTTCAGACCCATCGACACTATTTTCGTAGGAAGGATGCTGACGATCAGAGCACAGCAAACATGACTAACCTGGCGATCAAGGGTATCATTGGTATTCAAGCGATGGCAGAAATAAGTGACGTGTCCGAGAAAGCTGAGGATTACCAGTTATTTTCAGTACGTCGCGATGTGT